TCATGTGATAGATATTACTTACTAGTCGAAGTTTATATTGCATGGCTCTTTTTACCTCTGTCTACTTTGTTAACATTGAATGGCTAACTTATTTACCGGAAGATTCATACTATTTTAGACAGAAGTATACAGGAAAAGTTTTAGAACAATATATCTTATTAGCTTTGTTCAGGTACGCGTGTATAAAAAGATTTTGACAGAATGATAATCATTATGTTATTGTACATTTTGGTTGAGAATGGTCTAGAGATCGTGCGAGCATCGATAGACCGCCGACCGCAACTCGGGCGACGTACGCCCGTGTGTCGAGCGAGCTTCGGCCGACTCCTGTCTGGTTAAAAAGGTGGCCGTTGTGTTAACCAGACGGTAGTGTAAATTTGTGGCATTTGTGGTAGTATTTGAGTTGGATCCTTCACAGAATTCCTGTTTGTATTTCTATTTTATTCTGCCAGTCCGCTCCATTAAGTTGCTTAAAAAATATAACGACAAGTCAAACATTAAAATTGGTCAAACTATTCATTTTTGGTGGATACACGGGCTTGCTTCATCTGCGTGCCATGTCATAGGGACTTCATTATCATAGATGTATTGCCAAGCGATCGCCCGAGCCTCGCACAATGTGACCGCGACGATCTTCAAGCCAAAAATACGCGCGATCGTCGGTCGATCTCAAAATCGGCCGATCTTTCGGCGATTGACAAATACGGCCGAAGCTCGTCGACAATGTGACGGGGGTATAAGGAACGGGAACTACATTATGCTAACAAACACGCATGGAAGTGACTTTTGCAGACGTCTGTTACTATTCTAACCGCCCGCCTTTTTAGCTATAGTACTTCTCTCTAGTGGCTTTTCTGCATGCCCAAAAGACTGGGCCCTCATATATTCTATCCACGGATGACATAAGGCAATGGCTAGTTTAACTGCATATGCGCTGGGCCTCTGTTGATTGGATGGCCCCATTTGATATCGCCGCTCACTTTTGACCAATCAGCGCGCCTGTTCAAATTCCTAAAGAACATCCAAATGCCAGACGGGTAAAATATGTGCAGGGCAAGTCTTTGTTGGCAAGGAAGTGACTAAGAGAGCGTATACTAAAGCAAAGGTCTGGCATCTAGGCTAGCATGTGACTGTATGCCGGCAGTGCGATTATCAAACTACATGATTGCGCAGGAAGCTGTGTCTTTTCTCCTCCGACTGTGCCGAGCTCTTTTCTTGGCGTCTTTGTCCCACTTCTTCATGGCCTGCATCACCTCTTGTTGAACAGACAACTGCCTGTAAGGGAAACCAAACGTTGAAGAAACTGTGAGCTACAAATTCACTCATTCGTTTGAACTTGATGTTATATTGTTTTGGGCGGGTTTGTGTGTATGCTTGTCCAGCAGAGACAATTTGAGAGAGAGTGGGTACATATTTACTTGATTGAAGCCTGAAGATGACCCAGCACGTGCCGGGTAAGAGTAAATGGGTGTTATGTGGAGGAATTCAGGAGGTTGATTGTGTAATATCCGATAAAGTCATTACGTCACAGAATCCTTCGTCGTTCAAATACATTGAAGAAAACTAAAAAGCACCTCCGATTTCTTGTGCAGTTCCCTTGATTTTGAAACAAAAGATTTCTTAAATCCTTTGTTTCAAAGTGGAAGATGACTAGTGTTTCATATTGGAGACTTAAAAGTCCAACGCTCTAGAGATAAAGTCTCCAAGATGAAACGCTATTCATCCTCCACCATGGTTTTACATGTATATTTTAGAGAAAGTTAAGTGGGGTGTTTGGTTTTCGTACCTGTGTATGCAGTCTGGAGCTCTGTAGACGATGACGTATGAAGGGTAGGACTGGTACTGGTCCCACGTGACGAACACGTGCGGGTTGTGTGCCTGGTCTATGGCGGAGTCGCCGTGTGTGAGATGGTGGCCCCGCAGGATGACGGGAAGGCCCGGCTTGAGCGGCCTGGGTTCACCCACCGTCCAGTACCCCAACATGACGTGTGACAGGATCATGTACCTGGGGCAGGGACGGAAGTACTATTATGTACTGAGGTGTTGTCGCGGCAAAGTTGATTTCATTCCAGTTTGTACTTATGAAAAAGAAATACAACACTGAACTAATCTTTAGGAACAGTAAATCTTGAAGTGGCTATATTCACAATTTTCCTAGTGTCCTAGTTCTCCACCGCAAATAATTCATGTTACAGCAAATACACGTATGCAGCATTTCCTATGACACACTGTTTTACTTTTGCAACACAGAATTTTTTTATCGCGAATATAACACCGAGAAAGTTCACCTCTTCCCCCCCTTTCCACAAAATAAAACCACGCTACTGTAAAGTAATTTATGGCTTTCAGTTTTCAATATAGCCAATTAAAGACAACAATCTGATAAAAACAGAAGGCACCTTTTTGTAATTTAGAAAAAAATCCATTTCCACTCTTATTACTAGTACATCTGCCTGGACGTTACTTCACATTCTTGTGTAAAATATATCTGTGGTACCTGAGCCCATCTGCGTCTTCCTCGGTGTAACAGTGGCTCCTGATGGCTGTCCAGGCGAAGTACGCGCCCTTCCCGTACGGGATGACGCTGGACTTACAGATGCCGTCCACACAGTCCGGCGTCGTGCCGTGGAACGCCTGCACCTCGTTGATACATTCAGGCGACAAGCGTTCTGACAGGGCGGCCTTTTTACTGTGGATGTGCAAAATATGTACGATAAGAAACTCCAAGAGATTCCAAACCTCCTGGAAATATTTCGAGTTTTGCGAATTTTAATGGCACACGTATGGTCCGCCGTATACTTTCAAGGGGCCTAGGTAAGTTAGAAACCTTGTAACAAGCCCAAGTGGATGAATTGCCAGTGTGGAGCCATCACTTCCTCTCAGCCTGCCAGACAACGTAACACTCCCTTCCAACTTGACATTAACATCAATCCGTGGAAACCAAATCCCTCATTTTGCTACTCAGTTGTATTTATGATCAAATGCCTACGAAAAGAAATGACCACGCAGACAACACCTTTGTAGATGTTTACACGTGAAGAAATTAAACTTCACCCACCTTTGATATCTGGCTAGGAGATTCGGGTTCTCCACCTTTTCGATTCTCTGCATCACGGCCCCCTCCGAGGCCATGGAGGCCATGAACATGGACTCTACCGTCTTGTACTCGTCGGCGGTAGGCTGCAGTGAGACCCGCACGTACGGCTGGGTGGAGCCCGGCACCACCAGGTCAGGAGACCACTGCCACGAGTCCAGACAGCGGCAGGACGACGACGTCACGTCACCGGTCCTCTGAAGCACCATCTCTGCCGGTCCAGTCAAACCTGCACGGTTAATCATTGTAGGACGTCAGTACAGTATGTGGCACAATATTAAACCTCCAGGAAGATACACACATGTAAAGTGTACAATGATGCGTGCCATCAAAGATCCCTCTATAAACATAAATCGTGCGAACGTCGCACGATCGCCAACCGATGGCATGTCGTAGAAAAGCCGTGCATGCGTATCCTGCAAATTCAATGTGTTATTATCAAAAGGCTGAGGATTCTTGACGTAGTTTGGTTCTGTCACTGCCTGCTTGGGAATTCTACGACATCAGAATTGTACTTCAACTTACGACGAATGTGACCGCTCCCCAAACAAATTAGAAGTGGAATGGTGAGAACAGCGCAATAGAGAGACGTTAAAATTTTACCAATATAAAATATCTCCTGTAATTTCCCGCTCGCTATTGGGTCGTTTTTGTATGTTAATTTCTTTGTTTTATGCATTCTACTTTCACTTGTTGCAACTTGTTTACAGACATGGTAACAATAGAATAAAGAGCCTTTTTTACACAACCAAGTGTTGTTTTTTTCAGCCGACGTTTCGGTGACCGCCCGTCACCTTCCCAGGTGTTGCTCAAACACAAAGATCGCATCCATAACAGCGACACCTGTGCTGCAGTGCAATGTGAACCAGTCAGAATTACCCTGAGAAAGGTGACAGACGGTCACCGATACGTCGGCTGAATACTGAAACACTTGGTTGCGCAAAAAGAGTCAGTCTCTTTATTCAGTGACTGAGCTCATGATACCAACCTGATGAAACTATTCACGGGATAACAATAGACTACAAATACCGTTGTTCGCGGTTATGGTCAAAACACGTTTTACAAAAACCAGTCATGTGTTGCTAGTGAAGTCTGACATATTCTCTCTATTGGGCCAACCTCCATTATAATACATGGTTCAATGTATGTCTTAGGGCAATGCATTGCCACAGCCTGAGTGCATGCCATGTATGTGATGAGAATATTTCGTCACTGGATTGGATTTCAACTGATACATATGTGTGTATGCCGGCGAAAAAGCTCCAATTAATTAATTGAATATAAACTTTCTTAATGCAGTTTTCATGTACGATAATAAGAGCTTTGTTAGCATCCTTGCATTGTTGGTAGGATTTGTGATTATATACAGTTGCAATTTCCATTGACACATTTGAAACAATAAAGTTACTGTTATCACAAGCTTCATCTCTTGCCCACGTCAAGATCAGGCCCTGACATTCTGAATTTCTGCTCCGTGGAACGCACGTCATGTCACTGACGTCTGTTCACACAGAACCTGCGTACACGCCTTTGTTCAGCTCTAATCAAGCCTAAATCATGCGGACAAAAATAAAGTGAAGGCTACTCAGCAAGATTTTACTTGTAGTCGATTAGGCAACATGCTCCGGGCGCCGATGGGCCGCCATGTTGGATGGACCTGGGTGCACATCCCTTCCCAGAAGTCACCGGGAAACATTTTGCAAACAGACGTTCCAGATTGTACGACTGACATTTCTAGTCACTGATGGTATCTGAGACGCCTGATTCCTCAGAAAATTTATCCAGTTGGTTGATTTGTTATATTAGTAAATTACTTGAAACCTTCATCGGACTATTTTCCAATCAACGATTAAAAGTGCCAACATCGTTCGTTCACAGTCTGTCTGTAGCCACGAATAATATTATTTCAAAACGCCTTTCATTATTTGTTCAATTTTATGTTATCTACTTTATCTTGAATTGATCTTAGGAATTTAGACATTTCTTCCAGGTCTAAATAGCTTGTACGCCGATTGGTAATACGTTTACAGGTAAATGCAAATGCAAAGGCTACGTTCTATAGTGTGTTGTTGATCCACGTTGGAAGGCACAGCCAATCCTTCTCCTTTCAATACTTTTACCTCCTCAGTCACCCGTTTATTACACTTGGGTGGAGTGAGTCATGTAAAGTGCTTTTTGAAGGACACAACGTCTACATTCGACGTCACGATGGCAAAGTTTTGCCTTCATGGTAGCCAAATTGTTCCCCCGAAATCCTTCAGCGTTTTGTGCAGAAGGTAGCAGAGTTGGAACTTACATGGCACCCCTGACATGACAGACAATAGGTTCTCTCACCTATGACAAACCCTAACCTTCAGGCGACATGGATCACAGACCGGCGGCCAGGGTCATCCCGGGACAGTGTCTGGTACCCGGGTCTCGTCACACGGCAGGAAAATCGATGGACCTCAAACTTACATTTTCGGCAGCAATACCTCCTGTATTCTCTCGATCATCGCACAGTGTTCGTCAATCACCAAGCCCCTCCAATTTGGCAGGGTAGATTTGTTAAAGGCTCCTAAAGCAATTTCAGGGCAATAAAGCTGGAATTTTCTAAGTAGTTAAGTTGAACTTACCCTATATCCTAGCATACTGATGTCTCTGAGGCAACAATGCGATTTTGCTGATGGAAAACGGTTGCAATTGCTTGTTTCCTATCGTATCCTGGTTCTAGGTATTTATTTGATTTATGTATTTATATGTTGCATCAGCCGAGAGCGTCAAGGGTTCAAACACTACAAGAAATGATGACGAAAACGTGCTGAGAAATAGAAGTATCAAAATGTCAATATCAGACAGATTTCCTCATCCAGAATATTTTTTGCCGCCCTGAAATTGCTTTGGATGCCTTTAAACTCAGCTTTTGTCTTCACAGAGTGAGACAAATGATTGCATTCGGTTTGCATTTTAAAATTGCAAAATTCCTCTTTGATATATGGTTGGACGATGACATTTGCAGGCAACGCACGACCTATTGTTGCCTAGACTGAATCATATTTGTCTGCCAATGCCAATCAGTCTGAATACACCGGTCCTCAGGGAGTAAGGGCCACATAATGGCACGTCTCTCTGTCTCTGAAATGCTATTCCGTGATCACGGATAGGGCATGGATGAAAGTCAACGGTGAAAAATTGTCTAACAGACAATGAATGAAAGGTTATAATTTGTAACAGGCGAGGGATCCTATTGTGTCTCATGTCGGGTTTCCACTCTTTGGTATATAACAAAGACGGCAGGTAACATCTGCAAGACGGGAACAAATGATGTTATACGGGTAGAGCCAGCTGGTCCTAAAACACAAGGGATGTTTGTCAAGGCCGTACTGACAAACTTCTGAAAAAAGTGGGCGGAAGAATAAATTACATGAAAACTTAAGTGTGACAGTTTGGGGCTGCAAATTTTTGTATGAATGAACGAAGACCTTAATGGTACACAATGTACTTTCCTATTGGATTAACTACGGTTCAGAAGAAAATAGTAGTTAATATATACATCATTGAGTATAAATTGTCAAGCTTGTATGAGTACTATATAGGCTAGTAAATGAATATTCGGCTTCTTCTTGCTTCTTTCTGATGGCAGAACAGATTAATGTTCAAAACTAAATTGTCTAGATCCTTTAGAACTGTGAGTTCTGTGTTGCTTAGGGGAACAAAGATAGTACCAGTCTAATCGAAGTGTACAGTGAGTGATTGTGTTGCTCATACGCTCTGTTGGCCTACGATAAGGTTAGTGCCCTTGCTTCTCGGGTCTACCCCCACACTGGGGGTCCCTGTCCTGCCGTGACCGGCCCTGACCCTGACTCTGAGGGCTACATAAATAAAGGACCTTTCACTGTGAACAACGCAGCTTCAGGATTTACCAAACAAGCTGTGGTATTCTAATATACACATAAATCAGGTATGAAAACATTTGACCTTCATGTCTTATCACTAGATGGCCTCATGGAGACTCGTAAGAGTTTGGACATTTGGGCTAAGTGCGTGTATGCTTTGGCTAAGCAAGATGCATGCGATATATTTATATTGTCTGTTTGAACCATTCACTATTCATGAGAAGCTCAACGCGGCCTACAGCTTTTCATTGAGGTCATGAGGGAAGAGGAAAGGGTCAGACATAATACATGTATAAAGCTTTCATCATTTAAAGTCCTTTGTACAAATTTAACCACTAAGCAAATGGATAGTATTATATTTTCTAAGGACTCAGACGATTCAGACACCATCCGCTACATTTCATCAGTGACTGAGAATGAGTCTGAAGTCTAGTATAAACTGTAGGCAAATGTGTTAACGTTATCCATACGCTGGCTCTCTTACTGACTTGTTTTTCAGGGGAAACATATAACGTTAACATATGACTATATGTTTACAAGTGCAGCACATATAATTCTTATTCCTACTCCCTGTGGCAAGAAACGAGGAAGCGTCAGACCACAAGACACGCCTCATCATTTTGATAAACAACATATTGCATCAGCCCGAGGCGTCACGGGTTCAAAGTTCTACAGTCTGTTCAGACTGACGCCAGCTAAATTTCATTCGGGCGAATTCCCATTGTCATTGCCACCGAGGTATTGTCTGTGGGCATTCTAGACTTGGTCTAATTGAAGGAAAAAATGATCATGTTCATCTTTGTGATAGCTACGTAATTACATCGTGCACAATGTCGCCTGGAAGATTTCAAGAAAACAATTGCCACACAGGAATGGAGACGGAAGTAGGGTCTAAGGATATCTTGATTGTCTGAAACGTAGATCCCTGACGATGACCCTGAGTCGTCATTCATGTTGGTGCGATAACATCTGTGATGCGACGGTAGGTTAGCAGCTGGCACTCGCCAGTTTGTCTACGGTATGCTTTATACTCAATTCATGTTTTGCCGATATCCACGGTTATGGGAAAGCGTGTAGATGTAGGCTCATTTGACATGTTAAGTCGGTAGTGGCCGTGGCAGTTCCTGTGCGTAATATGAAATAAGTCAGGAAATTGGATAAATTATCTGAGGAGTCAGACGTTTCAGATAACATCCTCTATTTTTTTATCAGTGACTGAGCTGACTCCTTGGAGAATTTATCCAGTTGCTTGATTTTGTTTGACGCGATATTCTAGCTACCTGGATATTCATCGACTACGGACACTCCATCTGTAACAGATTAGTTTCGTAAGATTTTATAGCTTATAGCTTTTAAGATTTTATTGCCCTTAGGAGAAGAATTCAAACTTGCTTATGAGCCAAAAATCGTAGCTACGTCCTTCTGCCTGTGACATTGGGCACCGCCTGTGACAGTCGATATTACCAGTCAGGCAACAGAAACGAACCAACAAGTTGTGTACATGAGGAGTAGGAGCGACCAATATCTAGAAAGGGAGGCTGGTTTAGATGTGTTGCAAGATCTGTTGATAATTCTACATTAATTGTTATACGCATGATACATTATTTCCGAACTTGCACAAATACGCCATCGTAATGCCATCACTTACATCGCGTGACGATTGCTTGAGCTTGCCTCGAAGAGATTACCACTGATCATGAACCGCGTCGCCAATATGGCTCATGCTCATTGTTAAAATGTTATCCTGCTTTGCATGCCGCACTCAGATAATCCTACAATATTAATGCCAGAGCACAAACTAGTGTGAGTACCAGTACTTCTACCGGCACAGTACCGCGAAGATCATTTAGGTACAGGTCCAAAAGAACATCAATTAATGCACTGGCGTACCAGAATGGATTAACACTCAAATATACATGTATAACTTTTTTTTACCTATACTTGATGGAAATTTGGCACTGGTAAAAGATTAAAACATCGTCTGCACATTGAACGCTTTCATTTTAGATCTTTTCGAAAGCATAGATTCTCTGTATGCTTGTTAGCTATTTAATCAATGACATGCTTCTTTCGCCAGTGATTGAAGGCCACAGGTTACTTTGACAAATAGTTACCGTTCAGGTCCAGGTCCGGAACTGTCCCTAAGCCTCTGTATCTGTACCAGATGTTACGTGTAGGTACTCAGCACTAATTTCTGAGCGTAAACCTGACAATAGAACACATGGTGCATGTAGCGACAATGTAAATTGTAAAACGAGACAGGCGAAGAGAAGTCGAATTTACTTTAAAAAGCAATATTGCTAGTGCTTGTGCTAGGTTGATCAGGCATACAATGTTAACGTTATGTATACATGAACTAATAATCACATTAATAGTTTAAGTGTTATTGTTGTATTCTTTTCCCTGTCTATTGATGACCTGTACTTAGCTTGTTAGAGCACAAACGTACAATAAAGGTCTTTCATTCATTCATTAACTAGTAATAATAATTTCCTTTGTACTTAACCCCATGTGCATGTATGTACAATAAAAGTCTACATTCATGATAAGACGAATTTTCTCTCTCCCCTCCCACACCGAATTTATTTTTGTAAACGTAACTTTTGTTAGGATACGCTGCCCAAGCATTACCTCCTCGGGGCATGTGCGTCTGACAGACTGGCTACATAAAGGGGTCTTTATATACCGTGATATGACATAAGTGTGTCACCTAGTTATACAGCACGACTTCTCAGAACCCTCCACTCTATACTTTTCCACTCTTCCACATACTATACTTTGAAGGTCAAATCTGGCATCAGGAACAACTCAAGGAACTCGATCGCGAGAATTTGATAGCCTAGGAGGATTAATTTGCACAATATACACGCTGATTCCTAAAAAAAATCATATCTACAAGAGGTGTCCACAGTTTATAAAGCAGATTTGGCTGCCGCTGTCAATCAATGCATTAAATGGACTTTGTATTACGTAGCCAAGAACCATATATAAAGCGCAGGTATTTTGATAAAATCAGATAACCTTGAGTAAAAAAAGTTGTAGAAGCATTATGAGAAAGTATTGGTTGTATATGTGACTAAAGCTACAGGTACTCTAAACAAAAGGACAGACGGTGCATATTCGGACACTTTGGAGCTAACATTACATATGCTATAACGAAAACAACAAAGACTCGTATCAAGAGCTTGACTGTCTAAGGAAACAAAGAAAAAAAGAACCGTACCTTGAACTTGACGGTCATCGTAAATGTAGCGTTACAGATATCATTTTGGTTGTAAACAAAACAGTACTGTGTACATGTCCGTCACTTAAACCCCTTTGTTATGTAAGCCACAAATAACTAGGTATACTGACCCGACCTTTATGACTGAGAGGCCATGGTGATTTTGTCATTAATTATTGGGGGTCAACGGTAACTATATCAACCTACAGTTGTGTTTACCTGCACAATCTATATGTGGTTTGTACCTAGTGAGTCTCTACCATGCTTCGGGAAGCGTCTAGGAAAGAGTAGAAATTGGCCAAATAGACAGATATAGGAGTATGCCGAAGGAGTTGGTCCGCTCAAAAGAGGCAAACTGTACTTTAGCGGACCAACTCCCCTGAAACGTTATCTGTCTAGATGGCCAATTTCTACTCTTCCCGAAGCCTGGTAGAGGCTAGTTTAGAGCTGACACAGCGGTTTACCCGTTGAATTCCCGGCGTTAACCTAGCCGATGTTTAACGTAAACAAAGAATACCGTCAGATAGATACCATATTGTTAATGTACATACGGTAGTTGATTGTTAGAAGTACAGTAAGTATAACGTTTACCTGTATGATACAAATGAGTAGTCCTGTGAATCAGTAGCCAGGTGGTTTCTTGACGTTGTAAGACGAAGTCGTGGCCTGTCTACCCGATCAGCTTCCTTGTTGTTGCATGTCGGCCTTGGTTGCCGGTGTGTGACGGGAGCTGGACTTGTATGTCCCGCGGCGACTGTGGTGACTCACCGGCCGTCTGACCTGCGCACAGACACAACCAACTTGTCATGCGGGTTTACCACTGGGACAGTTCACACGGCACGGCTATAGGGGGGCGCCGGCTACTCATTGTTCTCCTGGCTTCTTTCCCATCAAATTTACGAGATGCGTCTGACCCATTTCGACATGAATTATACAAACGTTTCTCCTGCCCAGGTACAGTTTGTTCACCTCATCCGGTACATGGATTGAATTTCAATAGATTGAGCTTGTTCGTTTGTCGGTTCTTAACTTTATTTTTTGAGGAACTAAATATAAAATGTTTTTAAATGGCTTAGTCCAAATACGTTATAATATTTTGTACGTTTCCTTTTTAATTTTCGAGCATGGGAATCCTAGAAATGATAAACATGTACATCAAGTTCAACATTGTCATTCACGGTAAGAAAGAGCGCCACCTACCGTGAGTGGTAAGACGTCCTTGACAGAGTATATAACAACTTTAAATTTATTGTAAGACAATTATACAAGGTACAATGCATATAAAAAAACTATTGATACAAAAAGGGTATAAAATAAAATTTAGCATTCTTATATCTATTCCTTACACATGAAATTTAAATTTATTGTACAAGGTACAATGCATATCAACAACTATTAAATTACAAAAAGGGTATAGAATAAAATTTAACATCCTTATATCTATTCCTTACACATGGACAATGCTGTCTTTGTTCTGGTTCTAAGGCCGGGCAGCAGCTGTTGGTGGTAGATTATTTCATCAGCTAGACCGATGATAAAGCCATCGCTAATATCACCTGGCGTACCGTCTGAAATATTAATAAAGCCCGAAGCTCTCTACACAAAGGGAGGGCTTGGTTCAGGTTTTCATTTGGCACCCAGGGGGAATATACTGTACAGGACAGGTGACCTAGTATCATTATGCAAATATTATGTAGGCTATATATGTAGTAGAATGTAGGCTATGTAGCAAAACGGGTAATACACTGTATAGACTTCAACAAAACCATCACTTCCCTTTTTATGAATATCCACTTAAATACTTTGATTATTTTATTTCTAATGCGGCTAGACGGATCTTCCCTTGCAAAACATATCAGTTTCTATCATAATTAGAAAGCGAGGAGAGTTTGAATTTATTTATTGTTAGTTAATTAATGTGTAATGTATTTATAAGCTTTGAACAGTTTTGCTGTGACCCGTACATTGCCTGTGGCAAAACATGCCAGAAAGGTCTCCATTTATTCAGCCATTCATTATGTACGTGTCAGGGCCATCTTGACAAAAAAAACTCCTTTTCTTGCACGCCTTATGTATCTTTAGTTTTCATTTTGGCATTAATGTCTAACATACATATCAAAGTCATTGCCCTTATTATAGCACTGAAATATAGTTATTTGAAATAGTCACCAAAATGTTTCCTAGCTTTATTCACCTTCCCAGCCTACAAGACACTGAATTTCTATTAACACCTCCCAATTCACATATATCACAAAACGTCGTGCATTTTCATAATCCTGCACACAGAAAATATATCAGAATTAGCATTAGCAGTATTATTTATGCTTCTTTTTACTGTTTACTATTATTCTTAGTCCTATGTCCTTGCAATTATCCCTCGGGCATGAATTTTCAATAAACTTCCGAATATAACATATACCATGCCTGCCATCTCAAACCCTACACTGTTTCTCACGCAGTTGTTATTTATCATCACAATGTACCAGTGAATAGAAAGGCCCAGGGTTACGACAGCGCAATGATGTCACCTTGGGCACTAACTAGAGCGCACACCGCGCCATCCGACCTTGGAACATCTGATTCAGCATTCAATTCTCATTCGGAATTCTTATAAGGAGAGGTGAATGACCTGCAGTACATCTGCCCAGGTTTATACTTCCCGACTTGCTGACGGAAATGTCAATCAGTAACTTGACTAAAGACATCAACACACATCCGTGGCTAATTTACCTGTTTCCGTCAGCATTTCTGTCGTTTAACTGGTACTAACAAAAATGGAGTACGAGCCGAATCCATATACTAGATTACTAAGCTTGTACCATATGTAGTATCATACCTATCATGTAAACATGCCTTTGTTGTGACATGTACTTAGCCCAATTGTGGATAAAAATGTACAAAGAAGTATCTGCAAAAAAACGCAGCTGACACCATTATTTGGATTGCAACGCCAAAGACGAACCATTGTTATGTCTTATTTCAGAAAACGTGTGTTCAAAGAATTATTGCAAGATAATGTAAAAAGGTAGAAAATATATAGTTTACTGATATTTCTGATGTATCAATGTACTAGTACATTTCTGAGGGTTTTGAGTGAATTAATTTGAGAGGCTGTGGCTAATGCATAGTCCCACGGTAAGTGTTATATCACCTATGGCCTTGATCTATTATTAACTACGTGCTCAGAATCTACAGTGCTTATATGTTGTCTTAAAAAGCTATCTCCAATGATCTAAATATTTACATGGTGACAGAAGCCTTGTTAGAAGCTAATAATGGGTTATTTTTTTCGGATGTGTGATTTTTCTGTGACGTTGTTTGGATCTACCTAACCGGTAGTTTGGTACGGAATGCTATAATGATGTAGCATCGTTAAATTGTATTTAGCTTTCACACAGACTACAGTAACGTTACGATGTTTTCTAAAAACTACCACGGGTTTCTGGCATTCGCGTTAGAACGTAGAGCTTACTGTGTTCAAATTAGCTCTTACCTGTTCACCGTGCTCTGTTCGGTGTTCCCGTGTTTGTATGCAGTCCTGCAGAAGATAGAAATTTCTTCCTTCCCGTAACCAGTTCCTTTGTACAGTCCTCCCTCTAAAATGTACAAGTCACTTTCCCGAGGAGCTTGGCAGTAGGATCCTTTACGACGTACTGAATAATACATCCATGTTACGCGGCTGTACGCACTCTCACACGAAACTGTATGCGTGCGGAGTTTCAACTAGCAAAACATCGCCATAACCCTGCGCCAGCTGGAATAAAGCCGGATAATTCTACCGATCGGACCAGTTTCGGACGTCTTCCTCTGACCTTTCCAGCCCCGTGCACCGGAGGGTTGGGTGGTGAGTACGTCAGTGCAGCCCGCCGGTGGGTACGATTATCCAGCCGGGCTTTTGTGTGGAGGAGACAATCACCCCAAACCACAGGATACTCCGCCGCGAGCTAGGCGCGTAGCTGCAGTGCGCAGACGCGCGAGACTGCCGTGACGTGCGTGAGAAACCTGCGGGTCACAGATAGACAGGCCTCTCCTTTTTTAACGAGGGAAGGACGAACAGAAGGGCGGTTTGTTCTGATATATTCAACCGCCCCTGATGTGCAGTTAAGTTGTAACGATCTATTTCATTTTATTATATTCTCCGGGCTGTAAAGGTCCGTGGTCACATACAAAGTATGACGCACTTGCAATGGTTTTAATTTCGGGACGATATCACTGTATATGTACGTTATGAGTTTGAAAAGAAACGGCTGCAACAATTTAAACTATTTCTTCACTCCTTTCTTCCCAAACCTACAACGTTTTGCACAAATTTGCCGAAAGAAAATCGTCCTGTGCAGGGTATGTGGCCAGGATTCGTTTTCCATGATATTTACGGATTTGTAAAGGAAGCGTAAAGATATGAAACATATTTAAGCGCACTGAAAAGCGACGGAAATGCGGAATATGCCTTTCTGCGGCCTTTACGAAGTCGTAAAGTCTACTGAAATATTTTCTCACCTTTGATACTCCTTTACATATTGAGGAAAGTTTGCTTAAATGTCTGTTTTCGTGCTGTTATACATGTACAGTCATCTAGTGCTAGCACGCTCTAGCCAGTTAGTTACGTACTAGTTCACACCAGACAATACCAGCCCCAGGGTAGGCATTACAACACTACTAGTGACTATCCCTGGTGACAGAAAAAAGTAACGTAAATCAGCAGGCAATGTCAATGAACTCGCGATGGTCAAATACTTAGCAAAATACGGACCAAAAATACCAAATCATGGAACGATTCAAGCGTAGAACATTGCAATACTGATCCTCAGTGAAAGGATGCTTTAATTAAAAAAAAATGCTAATAAGCTAAATCTATCATCAGGCGCTTGCTAATGAAGCCAAGATCTACCTACAGGCAAAATATCACGAATATCAATGTATAACTCGTTAATAAATATCACGAATATCCATTTATAACTTGTTAATGAAGCTAAGAGCTTCCTACAGACAATATACACCACGAATATCCGATTATAACACAGAATTGTGCCGTCCAACAAGTGATAAAAAGTGAGTAGTTTACAAGAGAAATGCTAGGTGGCGCTGCCCTCAATCATTTTCTCTTACTCTACGAACTGTATATACGTGTAAGTGTAAATTTGGTGGAAAAACTGAAAAAAAACCCTGATATATATGACGTAAGGAAAATATTTATTAAAACATTATTTCCTGAAGATTATTTGCAAATACAAATATTACGAAAAGATAAAAAGATATCCAAACTACAATAGTACTGTAAGGGAATTCTAAAATTAACTATCATAACCTGGAGTTTCCATTTGGGTAGATTTTACACAAAAAGATACCCTTTTCTTGAATAGTAACCACATTGTCATGGAACTTCCTGGTATCACAGAACTATAACATGCACTCAAATTAAAACAGTCTGCAACTTGATAAAATTGATTTGAGGTTTTACAGTGGAAGAAGGGGTACATCATCTCTTTCACCGAACCACTCGTCATTTATTGGCCCAAGTTCATCTTGCTGTTCCGGAATGTTCCGCATGGGGGCTTGTGCCCGCCGTTCCGGAGCTTGTAAACGCTGTTCCGGAATGTTCTGTTCCGGAGCTTGTACCCGCTGTTCCGGGATGTTCTGTTCCGGTGCCACAACCTGCAGATGAGGATCTGGGTCGCGGGGTAGGGGATCGCCCAGAGCGTATCGCAGCCGCCTCCAGAACAGCGGCCTTTTCCGCACGTCGAGTGGCCACTCCAGGTACGTGTCTCTCTTCATTACGGCGTTCAGATGGTGAAACTGTTTTAGCATTCGGCCAGGAATACTCTCCAGAAACACCAGGATGAGACGCCTCCCTCCCCCCTCCTCAAACATGTGGTACTGGGCCAGCTGGAACTCGTACTCGCACCACTTACTCTTCAGGAAGTTCCTGGTGATGAGGCAGACGGTTCTTCGACTATGTGTCACGGCATCCGCGATGTTTTCTACAATAGGAGCGCCGACGGCAAAGTCCCTTTCGTGTATGACCAGGCTGTAGTCAGGTTCCAAGTTCTCTATTGCTTCATTTACAACCCACAAGACGTCCTGGTTGTTGTAGGCAATAAAAGCATCGTGCGTGTATCTGGGCGGCTCTTGGTCCTTTGCTTCGCCAATCTTCGGTCTACTCCACTTGGCCAGCATCCACAAGTAGTACTGAACACGGCCGACGTGGTAGTCGACCAGGAAAATGGTCATCATGGCGACGAAGATGCCCGAAGAGGCGAGTACACATGCCAGGAGGCGGTTGGGCCGGAATTCATGACTACAGTCCATGTCGAAGAACATGCTTTCCGTTGACTGCTGTCTGTCATTAGTTCGTCTCTGTGCCAGCCCATCCATTAAACGTCTTCCGCCCAGTTTTGCTGGACGAGAACATGTGTAGCTTCGACCAGCGCCAGGATAAGGGTTGTACAGGTTCAGCACCCTGTCATATGTGTCATGGGCCCACTCAACAAACCACAGTAGGTTACAATCGCACAGAAACGGGTTGTCTGCAACGTCAATTCTCGTCAGCCTATTGACAACAGGACCCAGTGCCGTTTGATTGAAGCCAGCTAAGCTAGTTCCCCTCATATTCAAATCCGTTAATTCGAACAGACTGTGAAAGGCATCCCCTATCACCGTTATCCCATTGAACGCCAGGTTTAAGTGTGTAAGGTTGCCCAAACCTTCAAATGTCATCTCTGTTACATACTGTATCCTGTTGTCACTGAGATCCAGGGATCTTAGTCGCGATAGTCCACGGAAGGCGGATTGTTTAACCACTGTAATCGTGTTGGCTGCCAGCTTTAGATGTTCAAGGTTGCCCAAACCTTCAAATGTTTTCTCTACAATATTTTGTACAAGGTTGTAACTGAGATCAAGAAAGCTGAGCCGCGATAGTTCACG